GTGTGTGTGTGTGTGTGTGTGTGTGTGTGTGTGTGTGTGTGGACCCAGAGCCCAAGCAGAGCGAGGAGGTGCCACACAGGGCTCTGGTTGCATGAAGAAGCATCCAAGTGGATGCTATCCAAGGTTACAGATGGAAGCATCCGAGAGCTTGCCTGTGGTAGCAGGTAGCCTGGACTGGGTGTCACTATTAGAGCAGAGAGAGCTGGCAGCAAAGCGTGGACATCATTTACGTACCGAGAACAGTGATCCAGTAAGCAAATACACTAAGGACAATGGAAACCAGGCTTCCCAACCTCAGAGCTTTGTTGTTGTTGTTGTTGTTGTTGTTGTTAGGGCCATTATGTTAAGTCCAACTCACCGTGACCCTCTGTACAACAGAAGAAACGCTGCCCGGTTCTGGACCATCGTCACAATCTTGATCGATGCATTGGTTCTGAACGAGCCCAAGGAAGTGTCCTGGAATCTTATTCTTCATAATTGGTTATGATTCACACGGTCAAAGGTCTTTGCATAGTCAATAAAGCTCAGGCAAACATCTTTCTGGTACTCTCTGCTTTCAGTCAAAATCTACCTAATATCAGAATTGATACCTTTCATTCCACATCCTCTTCAGAATCTGACTTAAATTTCTGACAGTCTTGTCAATGTACTACTGCAACTGTTTTATAGGTAGCACATTTTTACTAGCATGTGCTATTAATGATATTGTTCAATAATTTCCACATTCTGTTGGGTAACCTGTCTTTGGGATAGGCACAAATAAAGATCTCTTCCCATCAGTCAGCCAGGTAGCTATCTTCCAAATCTATTGGCACACAGACAAGTAGGCACTTCCAGCATGGCATCTCTGTTAGCACATCTCCAGGGATAGACTCCTGGAGTCTAGTTTGACACCAGTGCTATCACTTTGCACTTCTTCCTTCAATACCATCAGTTATTGATTATATGCTACCTCTTGAAATGGTTGAACATTGACCAATTCTTTTTGGCAAAGTGACTCTGTGTATTCCTTCTTTTGATGATTCCTACCTCATTCAATCTTTTGCTCGGAGAATCCTTTGATATTTCAACTCAGGCTTGAAGTTTTCTTCAGTTCTTTCAGCATGAGGAATGCTCATCATGTTCTTCCCCTTTTGATTTTCTAACTCCAGGTCTTTGCACATTCTGTTATAATCCTTTACTTTGCCTTCCCAAGCCACCCTGGGCAGTCTTCTGTTCAACTCTTCCACTGCATCATTTCTTCCACACATGCTAGATTCTCC